TTCATTTTCAACCAGATTGCTTTCTCCACTACTGCAATTCTTTTGACCCAGCCTTTTGAGTGTTTGACTTTAGCCCTGAAGAGAATAAGAATAAAGATGCACAGATAAGGAGTTCGTCAGATCACACCTTTCCCCAAAGACACAGGAGAAAGAGAAAAAAATATTTCTCAGAAGATCTCGTTCAACTTTCATTCTCTTGGAGGCTTTTGGGAACTGGCTACATAAAAATAATTTGTTTTATTCCTCTACATTTTCAATACCAAAGGAGGTTTGATGGGTAGAATTAACAATGTTCAAATGAGAAAGGAACTTCATTATCTCTCACTGCTGCTCAATAAATAACCATCAAGAAGAGCAGTAAGAGACCAGTCGCCTGTCCTGGCTTTATCTCATAACCTATATCAGAGCTGTGAATTCCCAGCCTCTCTCCTGGTACAGTCTGGGATAGCTGGGACTGGGATTTGTTCGTAGTCTCCATGTCTCACTTTCCTCTTTCTTCAGTACGTGCAAGAGGCAGCTAAACCACTGTCTTCCCACATCCCTCTCCTCAGCTGCTGTTCAGGGCTCTCAGTAGTTCCAGTCTCTTGCCACAACCACCTCAAGTTCTCACCCCTGTGTTGTCAAAGTCAAAACTGCACCACATAAACTACCCTTCAGCCTATGATTATCTCTTTTCAAGTCAAAACCACCTCCAAAATGAACACAAAAGCCAGAATTTAATATCAGTCGGTTGCCCAAAAGTTTCATTGGCAAGATCCAAATGCAAAATGTGTTTGGAGAAAAGACATTCTCTGATCTCATGGACAGTCGGAGCTGTCTGCATGCCTTTCCATTCACATCATCTGCTTTCCTCAGGAACACTTTGCTCTGTTTCCCCTCATCCTGAAATACAAAACTGTAGCTTCCCACATCCCCTCAGAGCACAAGCCTTTGCCAAACTCAAGGGGTTTTTTAGGGTTGGGCTTGCCTTCTCATCAACTCTGAAGGGTCTAATGCATTTTTGGGCACAGGGACTACAGTTTTTGTAAATTGATCTTAAATATTCTGTTAGACCAAGTTCAAATTCACTTTCAGTTTTAAACTGGGGACATACCTGGATTTTCCCCTGTGACAGGAGGATTTCCTCTCATTCTTGATCTGAGACATAACAACCATTTGGAAAGGGTAAGGAAAGTAAAGTTGGACTTATGAAATGGAAAACATTATGGATGAAAAGTTGTGAATTAAATAACAAATTTTATTTGTAGCATGTCAATAAGAGTAAGAGCACCGAGAGAAACTCAAGAAGAAAAGCTGAAACAGATTATAGAAGACTATGCAATCTGCTAATTTAAGAGAAAAATATTAGCTAATTAAAATATTGATCCCCACAGTTAAGTGTCCCATTAAATTAGAAAGCACATCTCTAATTCAAGTGAGATGCTTTGCTGACTAAATACTCAGTTCCTTTTTCTCCTCGTCTTCACAAACTGTAATATCTCAAATGGAATAGAATGAAATCAGTTTAAGAAAGATTTGAGAATGTCCTCCTAGAGGAGACAACATTATTCCCATGCATCCACTTTTGTCTGACTACATAAGCATATTCAGGAAAATTCGTCTGAAATAAGTAAAGACATGTTTAAAGCAGAGTTCTAAATGATTTGTTCATAGTTATATGCTTATGTTGAAAATTAAGGCATTTGTCATTCACCTTAGGTCAAATTATTCTGGAATAACAGCATGCAGATCATTAGTGGTATCGCTATGAATTGGTGTCCATCTCACATATTAAACACAGTTCAACCGTGACAAGTTTAATTCAGTGTGTATGCAAATCTGATCTTACACATCAAACAAACTATTATTGTCCTAACTCAATGTGCAAATGTCTATTTTCTATAGTTATTTTCCTCTAATTGCCACCACAAGATGATGTGCAGCAAGGAAGTCCTTCTTCTAGTCCTTGATTTCTATAAGTTGCAGTGAGCAGCTGACCACAGAGTCAGCTGAAAGATGACGAAGCAAGAGAATAATTCAAATTTGAATTACATAATTTATTTAAATAAGTAAGGAAAAAGGATGATCTTTTGCCTAACTTTGGAAGGAGGCACAAAGCACTCTTGGCTTGTAACCTGAAGTTGTACTCTCTGAGTCCTCTGATGACTCAAGTGACATGATAAGCGTTTGCTCAGTGTCTTTCTCCCCATTTTTCTCTTCCCTGTCTGAAAGAGAAGTGACAACGTGATCTTCCTGCAGACATTGGCCTCCAGCTCAGCTTCCCACTGTGCAGGCCATGCTCTTCATCTTCCTGTACACAAGTTATCCCAGGCTATTTCTAGGAATATTAAATGCAACCACAATTAACCTGTAACACTAACTCAGTAAAGGCATACCCAGGGTACTCCCAAATTCTTTTAAGTGTATGTAATCTGTTCTTGACACAGATACATTGTTACTATGTAAATCTTTATGTATTCATGACAAATAAATAAATACATTTACAATAAACATAAATTCATACATGAACTAGTTTACTTTTCTCACAGGCAAGCACTCTGCACTATATGGCTCTCCTCAATATTACACCTCCAGAATCAATTATAAATCCTTTATATTTCTCTAACAGGAAGGTTAAAATTCAATTCTCCTTTATTGTAGTTTGCAAATACAATATACTCTGTGGCTGGCTTGGAAAATCTCCTCAGTTAAATCATCTTGTGCAATACTATTTCTTAGTCACTGTTACCTCCCCGCACGACAACAAACCGACAGCCTCACACTCCCAGGCTATTTAATGGTCTGTTCCTTAAAAGTGACAGTTATTTTACAATATGTTTATTTTTTATTGAAATGACCACATAGACAGTTTGGGGTTTCTTTTGTTCTTGTGGGGGTTTTGGGTGGGGGCACAACTGTGCTCTTAAATGATAAATGTCTCCTAGAGGCTTTGAGTCAATGTTGTTGTCCTTTGTGCCTTGTCCCCAGTAAATCAGTTGCTTGGTTCTTTGTTTTCAGGGTTTAAAATACTGTTAACCAGCAGAAAGTAAAGTGATGTGTTAGCATAGCAGACTTTCTGTGTTATTGAACTGAGGCAAGGAGCCCAGAAAACCAGAGGAAAATGATCCATTGCAACCTATAATCCTTCCCTCACCACAGCTCCAGAACATGAGATTATTATGCTTGTTAGAATGACTACTTATCTGCCCATGGCCAGGGCTGGTGTCTCCTGGAATGTTAAAAAGGTCCACACCTAATTACACTGCTGACTTGATTATTTTTGTCCAACTCATACTTCAAAGAAATCCATTATAACTTGTCCCCCAACCAAGGAAAGTAAATGGACTTAAGAGAAGGATCAATATACTCCAAAAGGGTGAGGGAGGAATAAAGAGAAGAATTGGAGCTCCTTTCTACAGGGTCTTATAAAAGCTGAGATCCTTCAGTGTGCGTTAATTGTTTCTGCTACCAGTGCTGTGGCTCCCAAATCCATCCAGGTTTTCCTGCTTTGCTTGCAGCAAGGCTGTCCCCTGGCAATCCTGGTTGTTACATGTCTGCATCATTTTGCCTGACTTCATTGGGTACTCCTTGGGACAGGGACTGTGCCTTGTCTGCATTTTAAAAGTTAAGATGCACACATAATACATAATTACTGTATAAAACAAACTTAAAATTCAAGGCAGCATTGTTGGTTCTTACTTTCTATGACTCAACAAATTTGTTACCTTGAGGTGCTAAACACTGTTGTGAGCACAAGGGTGAGAAAAAAAGGTCAGTTTTTCTACTACGGGAATGTCTTCACAAATCATAGGAACCCATGGGCACTGACACCAATATGTGCTGGTTTCCCCTCTCTTCTGAGGTGTTATTTTTGGGAAAGTGCAAAGCAGCACCTTTCCAGTAACATCTGTCAGGCAGGAAGACTGAGTATCTTTGGCATTTTCACAGGGAGAAGTTACGGCACAGTAAACACTAGGTACAGGACCAACGATGCTGAGGGGTATTGTAGAAAGCTGCATTTGTACAGAAATTCCAGATAATAAAACACTTTCCAAAGGAAAAAAGACACGATGGCCTCTTTCTAGATGTCTGTCCTTGACTGCCCTTTTTCTAAAGGATCCAATTAATAGACCTGCAAAATTTATTATCCACACTGTTTTGGTGGCTGGGATTTCCCTGTGCTATCTGAAAGGATAATCAGCCCCCGGAGATGCTCAAAGCCATTGCTAAAGGGGTCAAAACCTTCTCTCACCAACTCAAAGCTGCTGCTGTTCTCATGATATCTTAATGCTCCCTCCAGTGGCAGAGAAAATTTCCCCTGCCCAAGAGCCTAGGGGCCCTAATCGACACCTTACACAGCACCTAAATGTTTAGTAATGACTGCTGTGTTACCTATTGGGGGTGCTAAGTGGAGAAAGTACCTCACTTTTGCCCCAGGACTGCAATGTATTTGTTTTCACAGGTTTGCCATGCATGGTTAGGCACAATTAGCATTAGCAGGCCTGGGTAACAGGTAAGCACAGCCCCAGAATGGGGTTTTTCTCCTGTGAGTCCCTTTGAAGGTCAGGGTGGTAGAGGGCAGCAGTTCAGCTTCAGAAATCCGCCCGTCCTACACCTCACTCCAGCCGGTTACAGGGAAAGCAAGTGCAATTCCCCCACTGCTTCCCAAAGGCACAGAGTCAAACACCTCCATGCAGGGAAAGATTAGGATCCCTAATGAGAAATTATTCACTGTGACTCTTCCTCATTCTGCCTCCTTATTATTGCTGCTCATTATTTCTACTTTGTCTGCATGCAGGACCCCCCATACAGTGTCAGACACTCTGCAGACAACCGACAAGGGTGACAGTCCCTCCTTCAAGACTGGAGCAACGCTTTGAGCCTGTTAAATCTGGGATGTTAAAATCTTTGAAGTTTTAGGCTACTACTTTTTGACCGTATCCAGCAGGGCTGGTACAGTTCGTTTCAGAGCTAGGAAACCCCTCCCCTTCACTTGTACTTCTGAAAAACAGAAGATTTAGTTCATTTGAAACAGTGTTCCTCAGCATTTAAAAAATGCATTGGCTTGAATTTGTAATGCTAACTTGAGCTCTTTCTGAAACAAAAAAATTAGGGTTCAGCTGCGAATTCGACTGTAAGTTACAGAATACAACAACTTGCTCGATAAAGAACTGTAAAGCAAGATGAAGCATCCCCAGCCCCTTTGCCTTTAAAATGCCATGGAAGCACAGAGGCTCTCGGCAGAACACCTTATCTGCTCTCGAAAGCTGTGACTCTTCATCCTTTCGTTATGAAGACCCAGGGGATTGCTTACTTAGCATACACCAGAGGCAATGGATAGGGTGAGCAGCCACTGCAGCCAGAAACCCCCAGCACAGAGCACAGACAATTCCCCTCCACATGCAGAGACTTTGGAGCTGAATTGTGCTGAATAGAGAACCCTCCGGCTGAGCGAGCCATGTGTGCCCGGGAAGAGCAGCCACTTTCGCTCCGCTGAAAAGCAATGCAGTAAGTGACTGGGATATTGCAGCAGGCACCGGTTCCCTGAGCTAATCAGGAGCTGAAACCTTGCAGCTTTTGCTGGGAGAGAGATAACCTCCAGTCCGGGAGCAGTGTCAGGGCTGCATGATTTTTTTGTTGTTGTTGTTTTTAAATGAAGTGAAGGGATTGAGTCAATATGCAGTGACAGGGACTGTATGGTTTGCTTTGTGTGCATGTGTGGGTGTTGCAGGGGAGCACTTGCTTGTGTGTCCTGTGCTGAACTAATACTGCTCTCTTTGTAGGTTTTTTCTATAGTCATGTTTGACAGTGTTTGTTCAGAGATGGTGCTTAATAACTTAATGTCAGCGGACATTTGTGTTCTGAATCATGCAGCATGCTTCCTGTGCTTGGGTGCAAACTATTTTCTGTACTGGTACTCTAATGCTGGATTTACAGGGGCTGTGCCTTTGGATAATGATAAATTGTACATTGAAACTATGTGAACGAGTGCCTCAGTGATGGATAATACTTTTATTTCACTTCAGCACATATGGCTAATTTCTAGTCTGTGGTAAATTGTTCACTGTGGTCTGAAATTGCAGATGCTTTTTTAGTAGAGAAATGTTTGTAAGCAGTACTTTATCATAGCATAGCTGTGGCTTTCTTCAGATTCAGATGTTCTGTTTCTGTACTCTGCAGCAGCAGCTTTCTGTTTGTACTGAGTAGGAGAGGGAAAGCATGATTTAAAGTTTGGTTTATATGAAGAGGGATTTTTACATAGTTTGAAAGTGTTTGCAAAATTAGCATTTGAGCAGTAATTGAAGGCCTTTGGAAGAAACTGCAGCATTTAAAGCAAATTTAACCATGCAGTTTTTGTTCTGTTATTTAGGGACTAATACCAAGCTTCACTCCTCTGGTTTCCTGATACAGCTTTCTCAGTGACTTATGAGGCTCTGGCTTTAGGATAACTGCCTGCCTTGAGCCTCACTGCCATTTTGGGCTTCAGGCATGTTTAACTCTTTAAGGCAATGTATGCCAAATTTTTAAGAGAGAAGAACATCCAACTGCCAAAAGTTAGGGATCTTTTTCTTGCTGTTCAGTCAAATGTCAATATTAAATAGTATCAGTCTCCTGTAAAGGAGCACTAATGAAAGCAGTCTTTCATTTTCCAACTTAATTTTTGTTTTAAAGTTAGCGTTTATTGAGCTATTGTAAACTATTGTGAAACTTATAGGAAGTCTTAACATAATGAAAAAAATTCCTCTGATATATCTGTCATTTTAGCTTTGAGCAAAATTTGTAATTTCACTATATTTGAAGGGGTAATTCTCAGCAATTAGACAAGTAAAGTTCAGTTTCTGCTGGAAGAGTTTTTGCAGACATGCTGCTGAAGATGTGTGTAATGTTGGGTCCCAGGCACGGATAATGACACCAAGAAACACCCTGGAAGTTCTGGCACCTTTTCACTCCTGTGCAACATGCATGTCTTGGAGTCTTTTCTCCTCGGGACTGATGCTCAGGTGCTGCTAAGAGCTATTTCCTCTGATGCTGCAGTCAAGAGAATTTTCTTCTTTTTGCCTAAGAGAAGCCTTGTGACATGTAGTGCTATTGAGTTGCAATTGTTAAGCTAATGAGCAATTAATAAGCGATAATTATTCTTCATTAGCTGTACAACTTTGAAGATGGACAAATCTACAAGGAGGGAGAATCACATCTCAATCTAATCTGCTCCCCTCTTCCTTTTCTCTCCAATCCCAACTTCTCCCTGACTGTTTATGGTCATTTAGTAGGTGTTATAGTTGCTCTCCTTCAAGGACCTGAACCTAGGATTAGTGCAGTTTTTCCAGTCACAGGTTCACAATCTGTGTGTGTCTCATCTGTTCCTGTTTTCTCCATCTAGATATCCAGCAAAGCCAGTAAAGAATTTGGAACATAGGAGGATTTATTATAAGATATCTCTGACTGAGCATTATTAACCTAGTGTTGGTTTATCTGTCATGAGGAAAGAACGGGGATTTTACCTGTAACTAGAATATGCTCAGAGCACACAGCTTTGATGACATTATCATCAGATATTTTCAGGTAAACTAATTCCAGTAATTTGACAAGCTACTGTTTTCAAATTATTTTCTCTGAGGAAAAAAAGCGGGGGAGGAAAAGAAATGCAAATAAGAGTTGGATGTTGGAAAAACACTGGATTTATAATGAGAATCACCAGACAAAAAGAAAGATTATGGCTGGTTTTATGCCTTCATGCAATTCTGAGTCTCTAATCAAAATGTGTTTCCTGAAGTGGAACCTCAGAATTATTTCCTAAATATTATTGTTCATGTCAAATGTAAAATGGAGCACATTAAGAATAAAATCTAATTTCCCAGTCTAGAGTAAGTATATTGGTAAACAAACGTTTTCACTTCTTCATCTTGTCTGTAAGTAACACTGGCAGGAGCTTTTCCTTGGAAGTCAAGTTCATTTTATTACATTGCAGCCTCGGAGAGATACACACAAAGGGAAGTTTACTAATTTTATCCTATATTGCCAGTAATGAGTAGCAAGTCAATTTAATCAATGAAGAGCAGTTGCTTAACATTTGTAGTCACCTCAACTACTTTAATTTGCATCACTGTATTTCTACCAGTTTTTGCCGTGCAGAAGCACTGATAACATTCCCTGACAGTATGAAATACGACTGCACCATCGTGTCATTCAAGTACAAGAGACACAACTTCCCGTACAAAACTGCATAAAAGAATATACGGTGGGTGGATAAACATGCTGCATAATTTCAAAGCACAGTGAAAACGTGTGTCATAGTTGCACCAGGAACCAACGGCGCAGACGATGTTACATTAAAAGATACGACACTCGGCACATTCTCAAAGAGATGAGTTTGGCTGCGTTTGTGCAAGAGCGGGGAATATTTGTACCATCCTTAGTAGAGCTGTCATGTTTGTAAAGAAATATATCTTACAGCTAGTGACGTCCAAAATGTGCCACATACATAGTCAAGGCTTTCTTTCTGACTACAAAAGGACATTTTCTTCCTTTCTTGTTGTTCAAGGGTAGACTTTCTGATGGCGTCAACTACTTAGATATGCTGCATAGTAATTATTTTATTCATATGTATGAAAGCAGATATCTTAGAATCTTCATTATACTTATCTGCTGTGAGCATCAAGATTGACTTTAATTGAGATTTTCAGATATATGGTTAGACAGTCCATTTTTAACAACAAAATGAATATGCTATTATTTTCTACTATCACTTCTTACCAAGGGCAATTGCTTAATACTCTGTAATAGCTACAATTCAGGATATTTCTTTTGCCACAATGACTCACTTCACTTTCCACACCCACACAAACCCCAGAACCCACTATGAGTAAAGCAGCAGTGCAATAGCATTCAAGGAGGATTAAAGGACTAAGATTGAGAACTTCCTAAAGCCTGCTGCCTGAGCTGTTGTTTTAAACAGGAGCAAAAAACAATGTACCTGCCTTTTTCAAGTGTTGTTCAAAAAGTATAGATATGCACCCAAAAACCATGCAGAATTAGAAAGATCACACTCTACGATTTGCAAGGTACCTTCAAAGTGCACCTGGTAAGGCAGTCAACCTCCAGAAGACGCAGAAGAACCACCTCCTATATCAGCTGATTCCACCACCTCCTATCTCTGTTTCTTAAAGTTGTAGGCAAGAATTCTGGCATCTGGCTTTTTGAAGAATAATTCAATACGTTGAACTTTAAAATAAGGCTATGAAAACATGTATTCTGACAAACTTGATCATCAGTAACAAACTACAAATCAGATATCTGATTTTCACTGAAACATCCAGAAGAAACTCCAAATGCCATTTGCTCAGCTCTGAATCTTCAGGAGTTATTTCATGGAACATTTATTAATGTTTTCATTCATTTTGAATGCAAATACAAAGGAAACAGCATGTGAACTAAACAAGAGTGTACTTAAACAATGGCTGCAGAGACACACACCTTTTCTCAGCATTATTTTGGCATTTGAGTTTCAAATCTATTTTGTCCAGCTCTGGGGAGACAAAACCTCTGGGGGTCCTATCCATGGATGCTCTGAATTCATAGTAGTCAGCCAGAGAGATTCCTGGACAGGAAGGACATCATATCCCCATTGTCAGTTGATATTTTGTTCAGAGGGAAAGATGAAGAAATGAGACAGAAAGTTGTTGAAAACACAGATGCTCACATTTCTTCTGCTAGAAACACAGAATTACGTATTTCTTTTTATCATAAATCACAGGTTTTCCTTCAAAGCTTTACTTTAGACTTTCAACCAGTGCTGATGACTGTAAAGAACCCCACGCTCAAGCAAATTTAAATTATCTGGTGGAAAAGCCTCCCATTTCTCTCCCTGCCCTGTCTGATTGATTTCATGATTACTGGAGAATGTGCTGCATCACAAATTCAGTTTGTATTACAAACCAGTCTAAAGTAACTGATGTCACTATATTTTGTTTCCATATTCAAATTCAAGCTCCCACTCCCTTTGTCAGCATCACCAATATATCTATGACTTCTTACCAAATAACCATAACACACCATATGTTGCAGAATTTTTCTGGATTTTCACCAGTTTAGTTTAGAATTCACCCTCAGTCTGAACATTGCTCAGCTAGGAGGAAATCCATCCTAGAATCACAGAACGATTTGGGATGAAAGGGGCCTCAATCCCCCTTCCTGCCACATGCAGGGTCACCTTCCACTAGATGAGGTTGCTCAAAGCTCCATCCAACCTGTCTTTGAACACTTCCAGGGAAGTGATTTTTGAAAATCCTGGTGAGAACCAGAAGCCACAGAGACTTCAAAAAACAGTGGCACTGAAAAGAAGAGGAAATCTTAGCTGTCAACACAGAAGGAGCCAATTTTTGTCAACAAGATTTGTCAGGAAAGCATCTCCCATTATTAGAAGTCCGAATAATGACAAATCATAACTACTCAAAGTCATGAAACTCAAACCAAATCAAAAAGACTGAACTGTGAAAAAAATAAACCTT